CCCCAAAACCCCAAAACCCCAAAACCCCAAAACCCCTTAATTCAAGAATAATATTGTTTTTGCTAATATTATTTATTAAATAAGAGACAAAATGCTAAACCGGAAAGAGCTCTTCCATCGTGACCTTTCAGATGAGAATTTGAACCAACCAAATCACCCAACTCGCAATGAGAACCAGATTAGTAGCGGAGAGAATAGGTTTTCTAGCTCAGGAAATAGCAACCAAAGTGTGAGTTTATTAATTTAGCCTATAATGCAGTTCATTGATGAGTTAAATTATTGTTGGCAATTGTTCATTATAAGTATTCTTTGATTCGGCTACATTTCAATCCTTTTGATGGTTTATTTACCATAATTTTGGAATAGAACCTTGATAGCGAGAGAAATGAGCATAGTAATAGCGGAACACAGAATGGTCAAAGAACTGAAATAGCAATAGGACTGCCTGTTAGGCAAGCAGACTATCTTGGTTCCAGAATACCTAACCGCAGCAGGCTCCCAGGAGACCGAATTCAGACAAGTCATGGTAACAGAAGGCAATCAATCCAAAATAAAACTGTTAAATAAAATTCAAGGGAAAGGGTTTACTATTATGAAAGAGATAGATGTAAGTTTGCAAAAAGCATCAATATCTATAATTGGCACCAATTATGAAAGCCTCATAATCAACCTTATAATACGGTTTCTCACCAAATGTTTTAGAAAGACAAAGACTCAAATTATATCAAAGCAAAAGCAATAGCTGATTATTCCCAACACGAGGATATTAATAAGATTGGGCTTCAAAAACTCCCTGCTAAGAAAGATGAAGGTGTGCTTCCAGGATCCTCTTGTTGTAAACGCAGGGCTGATATATCTAAGAAAAGAGTAATTCAGCCCGTCAATGCAAACTTCAGCCATCCTGAGCAAGAAAGTGAACCTAAAAATCCTCAAATTTCAAACAAATGTGTTATAAACAGAAATCAAAGAGCCAAGCTTCTCCAACAGCAAAAGGAGAGATTCATAAATAAGTATAAAGAAAATGGGAATATTTTTCAAGAGCGAAACTTCAGTTATGAAAATATGGACCCTTTCTGCAATGATATAATGGCACCAAAGGATGACCCGCTTCATCTTGACTCTTTGACTAATTCAAAACAGGTGAACCTCAATAAGCCAACGCTCATGGAAGAAAAGTAATAATGTTACTCACCTAAAATAGCTCTAATAAGCACATCCCTGCTGTAGAAATTTGGAACGAGAAGCGAAAAGGCTTCGGAACTGTTAAACCATCTAAGAGAAAAGCCCTCAAGCTCAAGGAGAAAACAGATACGATTGTAGGAATTCAGGTTGATAACATTTGATAATAGATCCAGAAACATAAAAAGACTGACCTCATGGAAACTATCACGTAAGAGAAATATTCTGTTTTATCCTTATTTTACTATAGAGGAGATTTACATAATAAGAACCCACCGTCAATATTCAGATCTCCAATAGTCAAGAAGGATGAGTTCTTCTTCAATAATTTTCATCAGAATGAGCATTACGAAGAAGAAATAGACCCTAGCCAGCACTTACCTGATATTATTGACAGCGATAAACAAGAGGAGGCAAAAGCCCAATTCGTTGATACAGTTCCATATAAATTGCCAGATTTGGGCAATAAATATAGAAAAATGCTCAAAGAGAGTAGTAGTGATGAGTTTGATTACAAGCCCATCATCCAGAAGGATTTCCAGGAAAATAATACTGAGTTCAACCAGAAGTTGAATGCTGTGAAAGAGCCAGAAATAAGCAAGAACAAGATGTAAGTTTCTCTAAGTTATCGAAATTCTTTCAAACTCTTCTTAATCCTTGTCTCTAGTTGGAATGGGAAGGAGATAAGCCAATCAAATGCAAATAGAAGCAGGAGCTATCTAAACCGGTATCTCTTTTTGTTCTAATAGATAGCTCAAAGAAGTTCAATACCTCTAATACTAATAAACCAGGGCTCTCTAGCACAATGAAAAAGAACATCCGTCCCTTTAAGGAGGATCTGAGTGCATCTCCTTTTAGGCTGGGTAATATAAACAGAAGCAACCCTAAAAGAAAGGTACTCACTTTCTAGTGAATTTTAGAAGAAGAAGATTATCAGCAAGCATAACATTATATTATCGAGCAATTTTGAGTTCACAAAGTCTATTTGCAGTCCAGAGAGGTTGAGCCACATCAAGCCTTAGGATTAATAAGTATCATTCTAAAAAGAGGTGAGAAAGCGTGTGCTAAGCTAGTCGACTTCTAAAATTATTTTCTTTCAATTTTGCTCCTTGAAATAGGGGTTTTGGGGTTTTGGGGTTTTGGGGTTTTGGGG